CTCCTTGCCGTACGCCGATGGTTCCCGGAGCCTGTCTCCTTGCCGTACGCCGATGGTTCCCGGAGCCTGTCTCCTTGCCGTACGCCGATGGTTCCTGGAGCCTGCCTCTTTGCTGTACGCCGATGGTTCCTGGAGCCTGCCTCCTTACTCTACGTCGACGGTTCCCAGGGCCTGCCTCTTAGCTTGTGAGCACTTAAGAAGCAACTTTTCTTGCATTTTCCACTTTTTGGAAGAAGCACTCTCCCTGGTTGCATTGGCACGAAGCAGATCTCTGAGACTGTAAGGTTTCGATGTCAGATAGATAGATAGATGGATAGATAGCATGCTTTGTGCCAATGCAGCCAGGGAGAGTGCTTCTTTCAAAAAGTGGAAAATGCAAGAAAAGTTGCCTTTTAATTAAAAGGAGTATTCTTCTAGGGTGGAAAACTGTGGAAGAAGGTGCTCCTTTGGCAGGCTGTGCAGTAACGGGGATGTCGTCATACGTCTGTGTTTGAGGCCCTTTATGGGCCACCCTCAGCCGCGTCACCAAAAGGAAGTTTTCCCAGGTTGATGAGCTCCTAAAATTTAAGGAGACTATTAGCACGTGTGCAGTAAGTTTATGGTTTGTGGTACTTCTTCAGTAGAAAGTGTCCAAGGCAGAGGTGACCATCTTCCCTCATCCCCCTGTATTGCGACGCTTCTGTCAGTATCTGTCTCCTCCCACAGCCGTGCTGGTTTCCTACTGATGATGCTCTGCATGTTCCATGGCTGCTTATCTCTGTGTAAAATGTCTGTCTGCTGTTTGGCAGAAGTGTAGAGCTGGCTTTTCCCTCAGCTCTTGGGCTCTTTCTCTTGCCTTTTGACAGTGTGAGCCTCAGGACAGTATTGCTGTTATTGATCTGTGCATTCTTGGTCACGTTATTGCACTACCCCCTGATCCCACTTCCCTGCCCACAGGCGCAGAGCAGCAGCAGCTAGCCGCCCAGGACGACAGCCTGTGCAGGATCTGCATGGATGCCGTGATCGACTGTGTGCTGCTGGAGTGTGGTCACATGGTCACCTGCACCAAGTGTGGCAAGCGCATGAGCGAGTGTCCCATCTGTCGGCAGTATGTGGTGCGGGCTGTGCACGTCTTCCGGTCCTAGTGGTGCCGCAATCGCCACCATCCTGGCGGTGTGACACAGACGGCCACGGGCCACATTGTGAAGCCACGCCCCCATCCCACCCCCCATCTCACCACCCACCTCACCCAGGCCTGGATGATTTCTCAGCCGTGCCGTGATGCCACCAGGCCTTTCCTTCCTTCTGGTGTCCTTTCCATTTGGCTTGTTGGAGGTGGCTTCTTGAAGATGGTGATGCTATTACCTTCACTGTTCCTCTCGTGAACTTCTCTGACCTTTTGGGTGAACTGATGTATGATTAAAAGATGGAAGCTGCAAAGCAGAAGCTCAGAGCCTCAGTACTTTTTATCCCCCATGTCCCTCCTGTCCCACACGTCCCCCCTGTTCCTCCTGTCCCTTGTTCCACATGTCCACCCTGTCTCACACAATCCTCCGTATCCCTCCAATTGTTCCAGTCTTACCTTGTTTATCGATCCATTTATCTATCTGACATCAAAACCCTACAGTTTTTATGAATGTTCTGGCAACGCTGTCTTTGTTGGACTATAAAAGTCCTCAAAACCCACAGGAAGCTGTATCGCTCAGCAGGTTAGGACCCTATGCCTGTGATCAGGCCATCGTTGGTTCAAATCTCAGGGTCAGCAGAGTGATGCCGCCACTGGGGCCCTGAGTGATGCCCTTAACCCCCAAATGCTGCAGGGATGACTGACCCTGCTCTCCCACATGTACAGCAGTGGCATGGCCGTGGGGTACCAGCATCAGGAGGTGCCAAACATGGTGTGTGTGACAGTGTGAGGTTAGTGCCCTCCGTCAGTGCTGCTGGTAATCAGTGTCGCAGCCCGTTCTGGCCCTGTGGGCAGAGCTACGCTGCTTTGCACGTTACAGGAGTCTCAGTAAACACTGTCCCAAATGATAAAAAAACAAAACATGGACCCGGTTATTATAAATGCAATTGTCCATGCAGCAATATTTCACATTTTACCTCTATGTTTTTCTCCATTGTCATGTTCTGCATCAAATTAAAAATATAATAATAAAAAAAACAAAAACAGGTGCTATATGAATCTATCCCGCATCTCCTCTTTAATATGTCTATCTTTGGGAATGTGTAGCTGGTTTGTCACTGATCAGCATTTCGGTTTAACTTTCTGACATTTGTCTGCAAATCATCACTCACGCTGAGCTGCACCCAGGAGCACTGAATTGCTGTACAGATGCATATAATATATCACTAACATGTACATATCTATATATATTTTTCCATTTGCTTTGAATGTTTAATATCTGATTTTTGACGATGTCCTTCAGATAGACTGACACTAAGTAAAGTTGTACTATTCCCTGCTTAACACTGGTTTCCTTTGTTCATTTCCTGCGTCCGTCCCCCGAGCCCTGGTCGGGCCTCCCCCGTCCTATCACGCAGATGCTGGGCTGGCCTGAGGGCTCAGTGTGACCTGTTAGAGGTGTTCTTTGTACTTCAGGATCTTCCCCTTTTTATGCTCATAAGGCTTTAATATAACACAGAAACTCACTGATATGCTCCTGCTCTCTCGCTCCCTCTCCCACTTCAGTCTCCACCCCCACAGGCTTGCTACCTCTCTACCCCATTCTCTTTAGGTGAAAGTAACCCCCCATCCACCATTTTACAAATTGTACCAGCCTGTGGGGTCATTAGTGACCCAAGCACACCTCTCCATTGTAGGACTTGCATTTCAGCAAATTCGGTCATTGCTTGGCCATGAGATGCTACCCGCAGCGATGCCACCATACTCAGATGTTCTGGTTATATGTGTACATATTAATAAATGACCGCTCTCCTTGTTAACTGTGGCAGCGTCAAAGGGACTGCTGTCTCCCGGGGTGAGGATGGGGTCTGGGAGGCAGACACATACATAGGATCATCCCTATCTCTCCTGAGATTTAGGGGTGGGCAATGCAGCAGCACTGGGCCAGAGAGCATCGTGCTTCCCACAGGGGTGGAGCATGACCCTCACAGCAGGATGCTGCTGTTATACCTCTGAATTCAGTGCTTGACCCAAAATCATGAAGCGGTGAAAACATACAGTTAAGCACATATGAACAGATCCAGCTGTTAAATTGTAAGCAGCTTTGTAGAGAGTGCATGATACATATAGCAAATAAATCAAAATGCCATTACGAAGAGCATCTCGCATCTCTTTGTGAACCTAAAAAGGTAATGCTGTGTGCCTATCAATGTTGGTTTTCTGTGTCCTTTTAATAATGTGGCAACAAGACCATCACTGAAACCTGCATATAATTATTTGGTTCGCCTTGGAAAAAAATATCTATATTTATTCAAGTCAAACAGTGCAAATAAGTTTCTTTCTAGATGTATAAACATAACGAAACAGAATATTTGGTCATAATAAAAAGGAGTGTCCCTGTTCTGGCAGTTTGAAAACAGAAACGACAGCACAGCTTAAATTATTATATCGACACCTTCACCTGGACAGGATGATATGGGCAGATTTCTGCAGTGGGGGGTGTAAATCAGCTGGAGGAAACAGCAGAGCAGACATGGAGAGATCCAAACACTTTCTCATACAAAAATATGTATTTCTGTGAGATGCATGAGGTTTTCATCGTAAAAAGAAAAAAAAACATCAATAAACTGCATAAAAAAGAAAGTACATCAACTGCAGTCTTTTGCATCTAAACACAAATTTTTACAACTTGACAACTTAAAATGTCGACGTAATGTCACCAGTACAAAACAGAGAAGCATGCTTCTTGTTTTACACACCTCAAAGCCGCCCTTTTCCTAACAGGACCCCCCTTCTTGAACCCCATTGACCTGCCCCCAGAGCATTCAACCCGTCTGAGTGTGTGGGGGACGCTGGGTGGCTCACAGACACCCCTGCACCCCCGCGCCTCACCATGTAGTTTCCGGCCTGGTACCGCATCACCCTGTCCCAATCCCCTTCTCGCTCTTTCACATATATATGCCCCCACGCTTAGTCTCTGTCCCTGATGTTGCCCCAGCACCCGCTAGCTCAGTTTCTGCAGCAGCTTGTCCTCCAGAAGGCTGAACTGCACACTGACGGACATCTCTGCGGCGAAGCGCTGGCAGCCCTCCGGCGTCACCTGCTTGCAGAAGCGCAGGTCGATGTGGCAGATACTCCCACAGCGCTTGAAGAAGCTCAGCGACTGGTCTGTGACCCTGTTACAGACTGAGGAGGGCAGGAGGGCAGAGGCGGGATGGGGAGGGAGGGAGAGACGTGAAACGGGAAGCCCAGCAAAAAGGGGGAAGAAGCAATGAAGGAAACACTCTGACTGCCGCTTGTATCCTATTAGGAGGCAGAGTGATGCCGAGCATCTCAGAGGTACCGGGGGCGAGCCTTGTTACATGGCAGAGCTCAGCTCACCAAGAAGAGCCCCACCCACCCCTTCCCCAAACACAAATAACAAGCAAACAAGACAGGCAAAACCTTTATTCACTAAGAGAGTCAAAAGAGAAAAAATTAGAATTTATGAGGCCACGTATACAGTCACAATTATTTCATCACAAGTTGTTTTCACTGTCTCTCCTCGGGAGCGGCACGAATGTGACCTGAGAAACCCGGCGACATGGGTGGCAATGCCAGGGACTCCACGGGGCGGTGCTAGCAAGCACACTCTGGTGCGGCGTCCATGTCCACAAGTGCCGTAACCAAAAGGGCGCTCGTGGCGTGATGATGTCACAGAGAGTCACGCAGTGTCTATGCAGCGAGCCACACGCCCTCTGCCCTACCTGACAGGTTAATCTGAGTGAGGGAGTCCCGCGTGGTCGAGCCCACTGCCGTCAGGATGTTCACCGACTGGTCCGTGATGTGGTTGCAGTAGCTGAGGTCCAGCCGGGCCAGCAGCGGCATGTGGCGCATGATGAGGCGTAGCGAGGCATCCGTGATGTCCAGGCCCGCCAGCCGCAGGTCTGTCACGTTCCTCAGCTTGCTGCGGCCATCCAGCTGCCCTGCGGGAGGGGGCACAGAGGGGATCAGACTCTGCTCCCAGAGGCTGGATCTGCAGCGTCTGCATTACGGCCGTTACAGTGTTTTGATAACAAAACAGTGAACCTTAGAAAACTGAAGTGTGTCAGCACAGGGACGAAGCAGATCTCAGGATCACATTCCAGCCAGGTCTTTATTCCTGATGGTTATTGTGCAGGTACTGAACTTATCAATATAATTATAATATATTCTGATTAAACAAAGCAGGTGGCCTGCCAGCTTTCATCCAAGTGACTTCAGGTTCAAAAAAAATTGTAATCATTGTATGCAAGTGCTTACTGGTTCTTCTATTAGAATATCAAGGCAATCCATTACAAATGTAGCCGTACCAGTGTCCACCAGAGGTCACTATAGTACCATTTTCTTTCCTAGCATAAAGATCATTGTTCATTGCCTTGCTGTTCCTCATACAAAAAGTAGCAGCTTTGAGAGACTGAACTGTTTTGAATGAATAGGTTTTACATTTTGCATTTTCAATTTGCATTTTCAATGGAACAGTAGATGAGCTGCCTGACATCATGCCATCACAGCACTGGCATGTAGTACCTGGCCTGTTGTCAGTAGGGGGTGATAGCAGGTCTCTCATCTGGGTGTCCTTCAGTCCCTCCACCCACTGCACATCCAGAGTGCGCAGAAGGGGGCAGCTGGAGGTGCAGAGGGCAGAAACAGCTACCCAGGAGCAACCTGACAGAAGCAAGACCCGGAGACCTAGAAGAGGACAGAAGGAGGACAGTAGTGAGCCAGAGTGAAGCACACAGTTAATAATGTGGCTCAACTCTAGTCAAGTTTAGTCAAAAGAAGGTGTTATGGTGCCGTGTTCATGCACTGAGTAGATGAACATCACTGCTGTCAGCAGAGCAACCCAGGGAAGCCAACAGGCTCTGCAATGCAGGAGCACACAGCAAATGGTCAGTGTTCAGAGGTGGGGAAAGAGCAGAAGGGCTGATATGTTTGCCTCTATGCCCCAGGTGGGAAAACGTGATGAGGCCGCACAGAGAGACTGCACCCTCCAATCTAGGGTGACCAGATAATCCATGTCATCCCGGACACTTTGAGCTAGGACAGGATTTGTAACCTACCATTTCAATTAGACGGACCTGGATTTCACTTAAGTACCGAGTTCTTGCTGTGTGCTGATTGGTCAGTCTCCTATAATCATGCACGTGTCACTAATGTTAATGTGAAACAGCTGGATGAGTCTTTCAGTCAAAGAAACAAACCTGTCAAAGCACAAGAAGAACTGAACTATTTAACCAAGCACAGGAGCCTTTCGGTTTTAAGGTAGTTTGTAAAACCTGAAGTAGCTCAAGGTGTCCGGGATGACATGGATTATCTGGTCACCCTCCAATCCCCAGATGTTTCAAAAACAAAATAAAAAACCAGTGCGTAGAGTCAGAAAAGTGGCTAGCTAGTATAGCACAGGAAAAGTGGCTGGCTGGTCTAGGACAGGAATAGTGGCTAGCTAGGTTAGCACAGAAAAAGTGGCTAGCTTGGTTAGCACAGGAAAAGTGGCTAGCTATGTTAGCCCAGGAAAAGTGGCTAGCTATGTTAGCCCAGGAAAAGTGGTTAGCTATGTTTTCACAGGAATAGTGGCTAGCTAGGTTAGCCCAGGAAAAGTGGCTAGCTATGTTTTCACAGGAATAGTGGTTAGCTAGGTTAGCATAGGAAAAGTGTCTAGCTAGCAGAACATTTTGCTCTTGCTGTGCTGCTAAAGCCAACCAGGGGTGGCTTTAGCAGCATGGAAAAAATTATTCCATTTTTTCCATTCCATTTTCTTCCGCTTGTCTGGGGTTGGGTCGGAGGGGCAGTAGTCTAAGCAGGGATGCCCAGACCTCCCTCTCGCCAGCCACCTACTCCAGCTCCTCCCAGGGAATACCAAGGCATTCTCAGGCCAGCCAAGAGATATCTCTCCAGTGTGTCCTGGGTCTGCCCCGGGGCCTCCACCTGGTTGGACATGTCCAGGAGGCATCCTACATAGATGTCCGAACCACCTCAACTGGCTCCTTTCGATGCAGAGGAGCAGCGGCTCTACTTTGAGCTCCTCCTGAATGTACGGATGAAACTCATTTCTGCTGCTTCTATCCGTGATCTCATTCTTTCAGTCATTACCCATAGCTCATGACAATAGGTGAGGGTACGAACTTAGATCAACCGGTAAATCGAGAGCATGGCCTTCCAGCTCATCTCCTTCTTCATCATGACAGAACAGTATAGCGTCTGCATTACTGTTGACCCTGCACCAATCCATCTGTCGATTGCCCGCTCCTTTCTTCCCTCAATCATGAACAAGACCCCAAGATACTTAAACTTCTCCACTTGGGCAGCAACTCATCTCCCACCAGGAGAGGGCAATCCACCTTTTTTCGGTCGAGGACCATGGCCTCGGACTTGGAGATACTGATCTGTACCCTGGTCACCTCACATTCAGCTGCAAGTGATCCGACACAGGGCAAGAAAATGATAAAAACAGGCTGATAAAGTCTGACCATTTGACACTTGTATTCTCAGAGTCACTTCCTCATAAACGGCACCTTGCAACTGGTCTCAGCATGCATACAGGAAGTGCACAAATATAACATGCTGACGTGGGCAATTCTGGTGGGGTAACGAGCACCAAACTGCAAGCCGCTCACTGCTCAATGTGCGTGCTGATGCACCCACGTGTTTTAGCCCGAACATCCCAAACACACAGTTGTTATCTCTGCATCTGTATAATCTCTCTTCTCCTACCACACCAGATGGAGGACCATCGATGTGAGAAACCTCTGAATGTTGGCGGGGGCGGGCTACTCACCGGGGAGCCTGTTGATGAGCCAGCTCAGCTGCTTCTTTGAGATGTTGGTCCAGCTCAGGTCAAGAGAGATAGGCTGCCTGCGGATGATTCCGCTCAGCATCAGCGGGGTGATGGACTTGCTGCGCTTCAGATCGATCTGGGTCCACAGACGCTTGTCACAGCACCTGGGTAGGGAGTGTGGATTAACAGCTCATCACCTGTGACAGAACCTCACAAAACCATTAGTGTAAACACTAACCCCCCCCCCCGCCGACCACTCACCAGCGGTTCCAGGTTTTGCAGATGCGCATGCACACGCATAGCTGCTGGTGGCTCAGGTGGCTGAAGATGGCCATCCAGAGCTCACGGCGTAGAATGTGGGCGTGTCCGTCTGCCAGTGGCAGCCGGTCTGGGGGGGGGCTAATGGGGGGTGGCCGGATGACGTGCCGTTCCATCTGCACCCCTAAGGGGCGCCGGCCTGCCCCTGCTGTGGGCTGCATGGGGGGCTCCCGTAGGGGGGCACCGTTGGTCTCACGCTCACAAGGCCGGAGCCAGTCTCCAGCCATTTCCATGGCAGCCATGCTAACCACCCGCTTGGGCTCGTCGGTCTCGCTGTCAGGCTCTGCCTTGACTGGCTGTCGGCTCTCATTGGCCAGGCAGTCCTCCGTCTTCTGGATCTCCTGATTGAGCTCCTTGCTGAGCTCCCTGCTCAGCTCCCTGCAGGGCAGCCGCACTGGCCTCCTGGCTCGTGCTCGCACCCGTGCCTTGTCCTGGAGCTCCAGGCCACCCTCACCACTGGGCCCTGCCCTCGGGGAGGAGTTGCAGCGTGATAGATCACTTTCGCATGAGGGCGTCCGGAACACTCCGCCTCTCTCCTCCTCCTCCTGGGCTTCCTCCGTGTGGCGTGCTCCTTGCCTTGCCTCCTGTTCTTCCTCCTCGGCTTTCTCCGTGTGGCGTGTCCCTTCCTGTGCCTCTTGTTCCCTCTCCTCCTCCTCCTCCTCCTCCTCCTCCCCGTAGTTCCACTGGTACCCCAACTCCCTGCTCCCTCCTTCCTCGTCCTGCTCTCTCTTGATGATGCTGGTGAGCAGCTGGTCAGGCTTTGGCGACTTCCTCTGTGGCCATGAGACAAGCGAGATGCCCACATGAGCTCACAGGTTAATAACTGCAGGTACCCTTAGCAGCCAGTGGTGTCATTATTGAAAGAGGCTCAGGGCAGCATTGTGGCACATGTGAAGCAAAACAATGTTACATTTAATCTTAGTACTGATCTGTGTTTGACAGAGTACTTCTGCTTTTGTGTTAAGTAGTAAACATATGCGGTAGAATGCTACGGGAATTTTCTTTTGCACTACATAAACTAAAGAACAAATATCCAAAACTCCAGTCCATTTTTTGTCATTTTTGAGATGAGACTGCCAGTGCCCTAAAGTCAGGCTCCCTCGTCATATGTCACAGTGTTGGGAACCAAAACTCAGTCCACATGAAATCTAACAAATAACTTTTGTTAAATTTCCAAAATTTCCTCAATTGTAGATAATGCATCCTGTGGAGTTTTGGAAATTTGCTCTTCAGTTGTCTTCAGAGGTAGAAAGTTCAGATTAGGAAAGTACAAATTGACACCAAAATTTTGTTTCAACCAACCAGTTGAATATAAAGAGTCACATTCACAGAGTAAACAACTGGTTAGCTGAAACAAAATCTTGATCTGAATTTTTACTTTCTATACCTGAACATTCTACCTGTGGTTGTCTCTAACACTGTAATGTCTGTCCTGTCATGAGCGTCACACCATGGCTTCAGTTTTGGTTCCTAGTGCTGTAACATATGATGAGGTGGCCTGACTTTAGTTCAGTCACATCTCAAAAATAACAGAAAATAGCCCGAGTGAGTTCTGAGTCGCTGTTCATGACAGTCATGCTGTATTTGACTTCACACTTTACCCACCAATTTAGACACCAACCCTTCTTTGACAGCTCATTTAGTTTAGTTCCTTCTCACATGTTACAGTTGTATCACATCTTCAGTTCATTTTTAATGACACTAGCTTTTTTAAAGATGCATGGTTGTGATGTCTCTGTATGCCCTCAGTGCCCCATCTGCAGTAAAGCCCTTCATCAGCCAATCCTAACAAATCATCGCCAGTTCTTCCATGTCCGGGGCTGCACTTCTGCATCACTCAGGCCTTTCAGCAGGACTTCACTTTTAACTTTATTTTTAATGTACCGCATTTGCCGTTTTATTATGTTCCTGTTTCTGTCACCCATACCCCCCCCCCCCCACCTTGACATCTGTGGCCAGATCACCCACCCATGACCCCAACCCCTCCAGGTTTCGCTCAGGGACAGTCGCTGGTTCATCACAGTTGAGGATGGGAACAGCAGTTAGTATGTTTACTGACTTTCCTGCTGTATCCTACAGCCACCATCCTCGAAGTTCATTCACTCACACTTGGAAACATTCTCAATTCACAGTTTACAGTAAAAGGAAAAGTCAGCAAATACAAAACCCTGAGTTTCATCAAACACCGAACTGACCTCATCAATGGCTTCACTGGTGCCATAAGACCAGCTGATATTCAACTCATTTGAAATCTTACCAATCAAGACATTGGGAGCAGACCACTGATCATTCCAAGATGAGATCACTACTTTCAGAGACTCATCACTCCAAGCTTGGATCACTAATTATACAGACTGACCACTCTGTGCTGGGGTCACTAATTACAGTAATTGATCACACTAAGCTGTCATCACTGCTTACAGTGACTGATCAGTCCAGGCTGGGATTACTGCTTTAAGCCTTGAACTCAAGCTGACATTCAGTTTAGGTTAAATGGATGAGGACCTCGTCCTCCAAGTCAATCTGTTAATTTATTGCAGAGCAACAAAGCATCATATTTAACTACCTATGTTATGTTTACTGTGTAGGTACTTATAGCCACATTTTTCAACTAGGATGAAGCCCGATTTCTGGGAGCCCTTTGGAGTCCGATTCCCAACCCTGTGGAGGAGTATGCAATGGCGTTTGGCTTCGGGTTGGGGCTCCTACCTTATTCCCACCGTTGGGGTCAGGGGTGTCGTCGTCGTCAGTCAGCTTGCGCTTCTTCTGCAATGCGTCATCCTCTGGTCTGGGCCACGCCTGGCCGTCTGCAGGGGGCACCGCGGGCCGCTTCTTCGCAACTTGCTCCTCGAGCCTGTGCCTGGGCGTCTCCTCGAGCTGCCTCCTAGCGACAGTTGCCACGGTGACAGCAGGGGTGGCCAGGTCTCCCTCCTCCCTGGGGTCCCTGCCCGGCCGCTGCTCCTTTAGCAGGGAGCCCGGCAGGTTGGACGCGTACTTGAACCCTGGTCCTCTTTTTTGCTTGCAAGCCAAAAGGTGGGAAAGAAGAAGAGGAGTACTTTACAGCCCACGCAGAGCCGTGTGGCAGCTCCGCCCTCACTTTCTGAGAGAGAAGGGGCACCAGGCCATGTGACAAGCCTTAAACGGGAAGTGAAAACCGCAGCAGAAAAACAGCATATTTATCTGCAGCCAGAGGCAGGAGGCCCCTCCAGGACAGATCACTCCTTCAGAGTTCTGGCTGCTCTCTGCTGCACCTGCATTTTACTGCAAAAACGGCCTGCAACAAAACCTGATGCTAAAGGTTTTTTTTTTTTTTAAAAAGTGTTGTGTAAAGGCTTAGACAAGACAGTCAGAGATACCCCAGCCGTCAGAAACACCCCTGCAGTCAGACACCCCCACAATCAGTCCTACAAAGGACATGTGCAATTTGTCTGCATTGCACACACCAGCCACAGTGTCACAGCAACTCCCAGAACCACTGGACCTCATTATTATTTTGTCTGCTTTGCTGAAGTTATGATCCTCACCTTACATTTTTTCTCTCTTATTCAGCTAATCCCAGGAAGCACAGAGTATGAAGCAAGGGGCACCCTGGATGGAACAATCTGGATGGGACCCCCTAGATCAGATGCTCTGCACAGCACACTCTGGATGGAACACCCTAGATCAGATGCTCTGCACAGCACACTCTGGATGGAACACCCTAGATCAGATGCTCTGGAAAGCACACTCTGGATGGGACACCCTAGACGGGATGCCCTGGATGGGACACTTTAGTTAGGATGACCTGAGGGGACACTCAGGACAGGACACCCTGAGTAGGACACTCTGAATGGGATGCCCTGGACAGAGCACTCTGTATGGGAAGCCCTGGATGCGACACTTTGGAAGGGATCCCCCTATACAAGACACCATTCCATCCCCACTGACAGTTGTATTATTCCACTAGATCCATTCAGGCAAATAATTTAACGGGCCCATCCTGGATCTGCAGCCACAAGGTCAGCACAGTCCAATCAGAAGGTCAGCATGGTCCAGTTAGAAGGTCAGCACAGTCCAATCACACTGTCAGTATGTTCCGAGCAAAAAGTTAGCACAGTCCAATCACAAGGTCAGCAAGTCCAGTCACAAGGTCACCTACTGCCCTGATCCCCGACCACGGAGCTCCACTCTGAGCTGCTGTAGATACTCACTTTCCCAGTCTTCCCGGCATGACTGCACTTGGGACACTCCCAGCAGTTGGGAAGCTCATCATTGACCACACCGCCGGCATCTTTGACCTGTGGGGGACGGGAGTGTGAGTCCAGAAAAGGGGAAGATGGGGAGTTCAGTGCTGCTTGGGGTGAGAAATCCTATTGGACCCCATCTGCGTTGTGAAGCACACTGGGCTCATGTGAGGCTCATGTGCTTCAAAGTCAAGCCAAGCTTAAAATAAATGAACTGCAGGGTCCTGACGGCATCTTGCTATAGTTTTAAATGAGAAAAGACATATTATTTGCCAACCTTTATCTGCTGGTGTGGTACCTTCTGACTGGAAGCATACTAATATAATGCCCATCTTCAAAAAAGTGGATAGAAGTAATCCATCAAACTAAAGGCCAATTAGCTTAACCTAAATAAATGTAAAAGTAATGGAAGCTATAATCCAAGCCAAAATAGTAGATTACTTGGATTCAAATAATATTCTGGGGGATAGCCAACATGGATTTAGGAGAGGTAGATCCTGTTTAACTAATCTATTTGAGTTCTTTGAGGGAGCTACAAGAGAAATTGATGTCAAAAATGCCTACGATGTGATCTACTTAGATTTCCAGAAGGTCTTTGATGTTGTCCCCCACAAATAGCTCCTGCTTACGATCAAAGCAGCAGTGATTTTAGGAGCTATAACAGCTTGGATTAAAAACTGGTAATCAGACAGGAAGCAGCGTGTAGTTATTAGAGGCACAATGTCACAGTGGGCCTGCCTTCATAGTGGGGTACCGCAGGGTTCAATTTTAGGACCACTATTATTCTTCATTTACATAAACAATATTGACGCCAGTATATCAGTAAACTGGTTAAATTTGCAGACAACACCAAGGTGGGTGGTGTAGCAGATACTGAACTAGCAGCACAGAGGCTACAACGGGATCAGATGAAATTTAACATAGATAAATGTAAGGTAATCCATGCACGGAACAGAAATATAAAATGCAGATATTTTATGGGTTCCATTGAAATGAAGAAAGCTGATTTTGAGAAAGACTTTGTGTGTATGTATGGGGAAGCACTTAAAAGGCAAATAGGATGTTGGGTTACATCTCTAGGTGTGTGGAGTTTAAGTCAAGGGTGGTGATGCTAAGATTATATAATTCCTTGGTAAGACCCCACCTAGAGTATTGTGTGCAGGTTTGGTCACCATACCTCAAAAAGGATATTGTTGCCTTAGAACAGGTTCAACATAGGGCTACAAGAATGATTTCTGGTCTTAGAGAAATGTGTAGAAAATGAGGAGAGGGTAGCTCAAATACAAGATTTTCTGGCCAAAGGTGGGAATTAGCAGGAGAACATCTTAAACTGGATTTAAGACAGCATTTCTGTACACAGCATTTAGTTACAGTATGGAATAGTCTTCCTGTTAGTGTAGTGCAAGCTAAAACCTTGGGTTCCTTTTCACAACTTTTCATAAAAGCTATTAGTTGAATCCTCCCCAAGTGAGCTAGATGGGCCGAATGGCCTCTTCTTGTTTACAAACTTCTTACATGCTTAATAACCTGAAGTGTGGTTGACCTGGTTCCGGGGCTGGTAATCCATAAGAACAGGCACTACCTGAAACCCTGGTCACATGACCCCAGCTATCTGCGTCATCTAAGGATATGAGGACAGCCTCCTTGGGCAAAGTCAAGGCCACTGCTGAAGCATCATCGCAGGAATCCTGACTCTTACAGAACCCGTCCCCGCCGGCCCCCCCAGCAGACCTTACCTCTAGGCAGGCGGGGTGCACAATCTCATTGCAGATAGAGCACTCCATGAGCATCACATTGAACTTGTCCTCTTCTTCATCTAGCGTGTCCTCTTTGCCAGCCTCCCCGCAAACCAGACACACAGCAGTGTGGGGTAGCACGGGCTGCAGTGAGGAGTGGGGACAGCATTAAGCCCCCGGGGGGTAGAGGCGCCTCCTGCTAGAGCAGGTCACATTTATCAGTGCTTGTCAGCAGGGTCCCTGTAGAAACCACTGCCTTCACTGCCTCAGAATGAATTACAAGTCTTTCAAAAACATTTCCCCTGAACTGTTGTGTACAAACCAGAAACTCTTCACAGGAAGTCTTTAAAAGCCTGTTGAATTGTTCATGTAATACAGAGCTTACTCTGGCTACTCACTAGTCTGCATACAGGATGTCTTTCCTCAGTATGTCACACATTACACATTTCTGCATTTTATATCTTTTTGTGATATTTCACACTGGTGCTGCTGATAGCTTGTAGCAGAAAGAAAAATAACAGTCTTCACTTCCTGAAAAATAGCTTAAAAAAGCATCAATAAAAGCTTGTACAGCTATTTATATAGACCAGGCCTGTTTAAATTCAAGCTAATATACAGACACTGACACAACCACAGACACACACACACGTGTTTTTTTCACATTGTGAAGACACTTGTTCCCCACAATATAATATATATATATATATATATATATATATATATATATATATATATATATATATATACACACACACACACATACATACACACATACATACAGTGCCCTCCAATAATTTTGTAAATTATTGTAAAGATTTGTAAAAAGGGTTAGAAACAATCCACCTTTTGGTGAAGTAGTTTCATATCACACTGGGAAAATGAGAAAAATCCAACCTTTCCTTAAAATACATTTATTGAGAGAAAAGCAAATCCTTCATTAAGAAATAATTTTCAACAAAAACACATGTGCCATGATTATTGCCACCACCGCTTTTAATACTTTTAATACTTTGTACAACCTCCCTTTGCCAGTATAACAACACTGTCTTCTCCTATAATATTTTATAAGGTTGGAGAATATCAAGCAGGGCATCTGAGACCATTCCTCTTTACAGAATCTCTCCAGATCATCTAGGGTCCTAAGCCATCTCCTGTGCACTCTCCTCTTCAGCTCAACTCACAGGTTTTCAATGGGGTTCCGGTCAGGGGACTGAGATAGCCATGGCAGAAGCTTGATTCTGCGGTCAGCTAACCATTTTTATGTTGATTTTGACATATTCTTAGGATCATTGTCCGGCTTGAGGATCCAATGTAGGCCCAGTTTTTCTTTCCTGGCAGAGGCAGCCAAATTTTTATTTAAAATGTCCTAGTATTTCATGGAGTCCATAATGCCATGTACCCTAACGAGGTTTCCGGGGCCTTTGGAGGAAAAACAGCCCCACAGCATCACAGAACCTCCACCATATTTTGCATTTGGGATAAGGTTAATTTCATTATATCCATCCTTCTTTTAATGCCAAACCCGCCTTGTGTTTATTGCCAAAAAGCTCTATTTTTGCTTCATCAGATCATTGAATTTGGTTCCAGTCAAAGTTGTAGTAGTGTTTCGCAAACTCCAGGTGCTTACATTTGTGGTTAACGGACAAAAAAAAAACTTTTTCTGGCATACCTTCCAAATAATCTGTTAGCGTGAAGGGGGCATCTGAGTTTCAGAGATGTGGTAACCCCACTTATTTGGTCTTGTAATTCACCAACAGTCATCCTTGGGGATTTTTTGCCTTATGATCCTCCTCACTGTATGTGAGGGGAAAAATACACTTGGGTCCTCTTCTAGGCAGATTTGTAACGGTTCCAGTTATTGTCCACTTTTTTACTATTACTACTAGAAATGGGCATTTTAAGGCGAGTACCCATTCCCTGACTTATGAAGGTCAACACACTTCTCCCTCATTTGGTTTGTATGTTCTCTTATTTTTCCCATGTTGATGGGTGACTAAGGGAATTTGGGCTTGTTTGTATCCCTATTAACCAGGAAGTCATGGATTACAGCTTGAAGGTTCCTATCCACTCCACTGAACTCAAAGATGTTACAGGGGAAACATGCTTCAGTTACATTGTGTACACTAAAATTTCCAGGGGTGCCAATAATTGTAGCACATATGTTTTTGTTAAAGATAATTATTTCTTGATTATCTAAAGGTGGATTTTTTCTAAACCTTTTTACAAATCTTTACAAGGGGTGCCAATAATTGTGGTACACACACACACACACACACACACACACACCGGCGGCTTAACTTTTATGCTTTTTCATGTTGCCTCTATGCAGACACTTCAGAACTCTTATGTACTTTACTGTATTTGAGACAATTGAAATTTATGGTGATTACCGAGGAAAAAGAGCATTAAGCTGCAATGTGAAACATCAAAGCACGGTTTACTGCTGAATGCTGCTGCTGACAAAATGAGGAGCAGCCCGCCAATGATCTCACGGTTTACCTTGCAGGTACTGGTAGTGGTCAGTAGCCACTAACGCATGGCTGAAGAAATGCTTTACTGGAAGGAATCATACACTGTGCCCACACTCATCCAATCAGCTTCCAGGAGGGAGCCCCACCCGCCCACTCACTGCAATGCACTGCCTCATGATGCAGGACTGCTTCATGCGGCCCGGGCCACCAAACTTCTTCATGTCCTTGCAGAAGTGGCACTCGCCGCATTCGGTGCGCAGACAGGCCTCGCAGCGGCGGCACCGAGTCCTGCGCCGCCGCGCCCCCGCCGGCCCCCGACTTGCCGCCAGCTTGACCGTGCCTGCCACGCCCACTTTGGGTGGCTTGGGCCGATTGGCTGGCCTCTGCTGCTATGGCACAAGGAGAATGAGAGAGAGAGAGACCAAAAGAGAGGGAAAGACAAAAAGAAATGACAATGGGTTACAGAGGGACAGATGGACAGAAAGAGAGGAGGAGAGAGAGATAATCATTAGCACTTTCACAGAGAGCCCAGCTGTTCTGCCCCACAACACCCATACAAGCACCACGAGGAGCAGCCCCCACACAACACACAACACTTCCTCCGTCCCATCACGTACCACGAGGAGCAGCCCCCACACAACACACGACCCCTCCTCCCTCCCATCACGTACCATGAGGAGCAGCCCCCACACAACACAGGACCCCTCCTCCCTCCCATCACGTACCACAGAGGAGCAGCACTGAGGCTCATCTTTCCCTTATATGTTGAGATCCTGGCCTAGGTCATCGTGGGGAAGCCTTGCAGAAACATCATGACAGCAGGGTGGAGTTCCTTACATACTCCTGTCCCAGCTGGCCGATACAACATACCATGACACATCATGCTAAGTAAGTGGTGACATCAGCACGTTTCTAATGCATATTGGGTCACTTTCACAGGCCAGCCAATATGTCAGTTCAGTCAGTATTAGACTGACCCCTGGTGGCAAAGAAGACTGATAAGATGCTTTAATGGTGTTCAGCCTCTAATAGTAAAGCCAGTAATGCATCTGGCTGCAACAAGCCCCTGAAGAAATCTTAGGATGCAGCATAGGGTTATTTGTCCTCTCTAGACACAGCCAGAAAGTGGTGCAGTGGTGAAGGCCTTGTCACCACAAGGCTGTAAGTTCATATGCATAGGGATCCAGCTACAGTCAGGCTGAATAGTTTCCATGAGAAACTTCCACGTAAATTATATTTCAATCCAAAACCCCATAAATCACTTTAAAACAAAATACATACATTGCAGAAGAGTACTCAAAACATAACCAATGTTTTAACAAAGTTAATTGGTTAGTAAGATTTAAGTTTATCAACAGCAGAACACCTCTTAGGTACAATCCTGATCACCTTGTTTACTCAAATTTACAGTAAAGGAGCAGAGTGATTGTGAAATGTGAATGAGCTGCTGGGAACCTCCAAAGCGCAAGGGCTAACTGAGAATGCTTCACGGGAACCCCCAAAATGCAGGGGCTAGCTGAGCATGGTTCACGGGAACCCCCAAAGCACAGGAGCTCACTGAGTATGCTCCACTGGAACCCCCAAAGCACAGGGGCTCGCTGAGCATGCTCCACCGGAACCCCCAAAGCACAGAGGCTTGCTGAGCATACTCCACTGGAACCCCCAAAGTACAGGGGCTCGCTGAGCATACTCCACTGGAACCCCCAAAGCACAGGGGCTCGCTGAGCATGCTCCACTGGAACCCCCAAAGCACAGGGGCTCGCTGAGCATGCTCCACCGGAACCCCCAAAGTACAGGGGCTTGCTGAGCATGCTCCACTGGAACCCCCAAAGTACAGGGGCTTGCTGAGCATGCTCCACCAGAACCCACAAAGTGCAGGGGCTTGCTGAGCATGCTCCACTGGAACTCCCAAAGCACAGGGACTTGCTGAGCATGCTCCACTGGAACCCCCAAAGCACAGGGGCTTGCTGAGCATGCTCCACTGGAACCCCCAAAGCACAGGGACTTGCTGAGCATGCTCCACAGACTCCCGTGCAGAACAGAAACAGCAGGGAGCATATGTGAACCAGCATGGGAGTCACATTACACTAATGTCACGTTCGCCAATCGCACCAGAACTTATTAGCCATTTTTATTGGAAGCTTGTGTATCAGCAGAAATGGGTGTAGTAAAGTGACCAAAACATAAGGGATGGAGCACCACCGGGAAGATGGCAGTGGCCTATCCCATGCCAGTGTGTCAAGATCTCGTCCAGGTACAGGATTCATCTTGTCTGAAGAAACCAAAGGGACGCAACCCCACTACAAAGAGGTGCTATACATGGAGTACTCACCTCACACAGAAGCCTAGTTCATACTTCACTTTTCTGCATGTGCTTTCATGAGCTTTCCAGTTTCCAGCATACTACATTTGACTGCGGATGTGGATGTTCTCGGTCGGTGCATTTGTACAGCAGTAATATTCCACCACACCAGGAGAGGGTAGATGTACAAATATACCCAGTGTAGTGAAACGGGTAAACTTTTATGAACAATTTTAAAGTTATTAGTCAAGGCTTGAGCAGTATTACAATATTAAGGCATTCCACAGTATTACGAAATCCTTACAACATAATTGGACCCCCTCCCCCCACTTGGTGAATTTTATTGCCAATATTTCAAAATGTCAGAATATCGCTGCTTTTTAAAATACTGCATACCTCAGTAATGACTGGACAGTATGAAAAATTAGATATTTGGGTACCTCTGACCCTCCTCATATAGCTGCTCACCATAACTACTAGAACAACAACAGCTATTATTCCTCTGCTCTTTCATTGTTGACTGCTGATCTGTGAAACTTCACACTGCCACCTGCTGGAAACACCTAATCAGTTATCTTGCACATGTGTGGTCGATGCGCACGGTTTCCATTAGACATAAAAATCTGGGCTATATGCACACTGACTGCAGCCATCTGCTGCCAACCCCTGATGATGAAATTTACATCACGTCCCCTCGCCTGCAACCGAAAATGCAGATGAAATATAAATTGGCCTTAGTACTATCAAAACTTTACAATGTCACACTTATACTTGTTGATGCAGTCAGATGTTTTCCATCTAAACCAAATGCTTTGATCAGAAGTACCTGGACCAGGCGAGCACTGGGTTTAAACACCAGGAAGCCGAATCTGGAGCAGGTCTTACTCTGGAGCAGGTCCGAACAGACTGAATGTTAACTACAGCTTGTGCACAGCTCTCACTGCGTAGGGCCAAAAAAATCCTTGGAAGGGTTTCCTGGGCAAAAAAACAGCATCTTAAGCATCTGCATAAGACGTATGTTTCATTTACAGATATTAAAGGACAAGCTTGAGATAAGAGACTGTCCCAGGTTAACAAATAAAAGTAATGCTACTAACATTCATCTGCCTTCCAAGTACATATCCAGTATCGGGTCATTGAGGCCTATTGCCCCAGAAAGCTGCACTTCACTGGAGAAATGGCAAATGATAAATCCTTTATTTGCTATTTGCACAAGGGAATTCTTCTCTTTGCCTGCCCCATCTCGCTCTCCATAGCTTGGAGGGTCACTGCACAGGTCACTGTATAACATGCAGGACCCCTGCAGCTGGGGGTGAAGGCCGTTGCTCAAGGGCCCATAAACAGTGGGCAGTGGTGACTTAATGGTTAGGGAAGTGCACTCATAATTGAAAGAGCGCAGGTTCGATTCCCCAACCAGCAAGACACCACTGAGGTACCCTGAGCAAGGTACCACCCCCAAGCACTGCTCCCTGGGTGCTGAATTAGCTGCCCCCTGCTATGTCATGATGTCACATATGGGTTAAATGCAGAGGACGCATTTCGTTGTTGTACACTGTGTGCTGTGGCGTGTCAACAATGACAGTTAATCACTAAATTCTAAAATTTGACATGTACCGGACACATGCTACACGTCCTGCAGCATATTAAAGGGAAGGAGGTGGGAGTTGCTGTGAGCCCAGCGCACAATCAAACAAGAAGTTTCTTTAAGTAAATAAGTAAACTTTCAAAATATTAAGGGCATGGGTCCTGGAAGCTGTTCCAGTGATCCATCTGCTCCCCGGTCCTATTGAGGGCCAAAACTTCCTTGAGTAGCTAAAACAGGTCAGACAGAGCCATAGAGATGACCTGTCCAAAATGGCCAAGGATACGCCAGTGACCGCCTCTCCTTAACACACGAGGGTGCCAGCGATAGGCACAGTGACACGTCTGTGTGCCACGGCAACAACACTTGATGCGTTTGCAGCACATGCCACTTGCCCTGCTGCCTTATCGGCCGACTTCAAGCCAAAGTATCTGCGCTGTGGACTCTTTAGGAGAGCCTTCCTCAGTCCCTCAAAAATGACAGAAGGAAGTGAAATTTACCAGGTTCGAAGAGGTCCAATCGTATTTTTTTTTTCCAAAAGTGAGAAATGTTCTGGCCGAGGCTTTTGGGGAAGCCCTCCCCCCACCTTTGCGAGGTCAGAGCAGGGGGACATTAGAGCATCATGGTCACATTGGACACTACAGGTTCCTACATGACTGCATTGGACACCATGAGGTACTATATAGCCACACTGGACACCACAGGGCACTACATGACCTGACTGGACAACACAGAAGACTACATGACTGCACTGGACACCACCAGGCATTACATAACTGCATTTGACACTATGGGGTACTACATAACCACACTGGGCTCCACGGGGCACTACATGACCTTACTGGACAAGACAGGAGGTTATATGACCACACTAGATACCACGAGGTATTTCATGACTGCGTTGGACAGCATGGGATGCTACATGACCACACTGGACAGCATAGGATGCTACATTACCGCACTGGACACCATGGTCTGTTACATGACCTCACTGGACACCGTGAGACACTACAAGATCGCACTGGACACTGTGGGGCACTACATGACCACATTGGACACCACAAGGCACTACATGACCACACTGGACACCACAGGGCATTATTTGACAACACTGAGTGCTACATGACTGCACTGGACAGCACGTGGCAGTGAACGACCCCAGTGGACACTGAGGGACACCACAACATCCCATGGGATACCACGGAACATTTGGGTTCCGATGGCCCTCCTTGCCCAGCACTGGCACAGCACCCAAACCCACTCTACACCCAGACCTCTCGGGATTACGACGCGTTTCAAATGGCACCGTTCTGCCTGAGCTGAAAGCAGAGAGACATTTAAAAAGACAAAGGTAAAAAAAAGTATTTACCCCCGAGTTTTTCCTGTCACGGTAAGAGTGCAGCCTAGTTATTGGCTGTCCTGCCGAAACTATTGGAGCCAGTAAGTGCCAACAGGCCGCAGCGGCAGCGGGAGGAAGTCTCTCCGGCGGCAGCCCTGCTCATTGTTCCTGTGTTTCTGCTCCAGCACAGCCCCTCCCCCCCACTCCCGCCTGATGAGATCGGCTAGCTGGCCCTCTTAAAGGCACAGCACACTGGGACAGGGACATGCCGGAGGGCTCCAAAGAAAATGGGAAAACAAGCAGGTCATTACCAGCTGGAAGATGGCAAATTAATCTGTCAGGGGAATGCGCCAGAGCAACCCAGTAAGTTGACTCACTCTCAGCGAGTCAAAGAGCTGTCTGACTCACTAAAACTAACAAAGAGCCCACAAAAAACAACTCCAGTTATTATTACTATCATTCTGGCCAAGCCAGTGAGCAAGGAGCATGAGCAGTACAGTGCTGGTAGGCAGGGTGCAGACATGCGGCCGAATCACTGTGTGATAGAACAGGAGTGAATTGGAAGGAGTCACGGGCACCAGTGGCAGAGCAGTGGAATCGACATGACCATGAAGCTCTAAACAGACTCAGGCACCCAGTCTCTTTGAGTTTTGGGAGCTGGGGGGAGTTCAAGGGTCAACTCACAATGGGGGGGGGGTCTATGTCATAAAAACAGCGGAGAGAGGTTTGACAGGAGGAGGGGAAGGGGGGGGGGGATGCAGTCTCACTGTTTGAGGCAGTTTACCGGCAACAAGTACAGCTATTACTAGTAGTGAACCAGTCACAACACAGGTCACACAAGAGAAGCAGGGCGGGACCAGAGTGGAAGGGAACAGGAAGAGGTGAAGAGAAACAAATGGAATCAGTTAGAGGGAGAGAGAGAAGGGAGTGAGGGAAAGGGGGAGGGAGAGGGGGAGGGGGGCAAAGAGAGAGGAAGAGGGAAAAAAAAGAGAGGTAGAGGGGGAGAGAGATGGTGGGAGAGTGAGAGAGGGAAAGATAGCTCTAGGGACAGAGAGAGAGAGGGACAAAGTGGGCAACATGGCCTGAGGAGCAGTGAGCACACACACACACGTGCAGACACACACACACACGCGCGCAGACACAAACACACACGCACAGACATGCGCGCACACGCACGCAGACACACGCGCTCAGACACATGCGCTCAGACACACGCGCGGAGACACACGCGCGGAGACACAAACGCACGTGGCGCGGCCCAGAGTGCCACTGTCTCTCTTCTTTGTGGGACAGCCCCGCTGTTGCCCCCCCCCCCCATCCCCAGCCATGCTTGCCGTTTGAGGCATGGACAAGCCCTGCTCACATAACCCCAACCCCCCCTCCTCCCCCCCATTTCACAGTCGCACGCTGTTTTTCACTCAGCTCACAAAAAAAGAACAGGAGAGACAGAAGGAAGCAGGAAGGGGGGAGAGAGGAGAGGTATGCCCTGCCAGACACACTCAGCCGGGGGGGTCACAAAGAAAGCGGCAGAGCGACACAGAGACGGACGCCCGACCCCTCCTCCCCCCACCTTCCCTTCCCCCCTCACCTGCTCAGCCTCAGAGTCGTACTCGTCATCGTCGGCGCTCAGTGACAAGGCCATAGTCCCGTGTCGACCGGCCGGCGTGCCACACTGACAGGCCGCCACCTCCACCACTGCCTGCTGGCCCTTTCATGCATATGAAGGGGCGGGACCCATGGGGGGCAACCAATGAGCAAACATTACAGGGCAGTCCTAATGGTGGCCTCTCGTCAGCCGGGCTGAGCCACTGGCTGCTGGGGCCTTTGTCAGGTGCTATTAGGGAGGAGTGTGAGACAACGCTGTGTCAAACACCTCAAAACGGCCCAGAGCAAATTCTGAGTAAAGAAATGCTAATACAAAATACAGTGTGTTTTCGGAAGTAGCCAGCTGCCTTCCTGGTCACGTGACCCAGCATGCGATCGGCTGCTTGGTGCTCGCTTGCTCCGGCCTGGACGCCCACAGCTGTGCTGTGCTTTTGTTTTGTGGGTAAGGCTGAACGCTGCTGTTTTCAGCATGAATCGCGTTTGCATGACAATGAGCACGAGTGTCAAGCGTCCTCTGGTGTGGTCTGGTCACTGGGCTGTGACGTCTCAGCACTAAGAAGAGCATGCAGGTCACAGACCAAATGCATGTGAGCGACACCAATTGAAACATTAAGCATGCAGATCCCTGAGCTGCACATTCCAGCTGTCCTTCTAGCATTCATTTATATTTGCACTGAGATGCAAATGTTCATAAAGATGCCTATTACACACAGCACAGCCAGGTTCCCATCTGAGAGTGCTGAGTTTTGTTAAAGGTGATTTTAAAGGTGTCCAGGCTACAGTCTAAGGAATACGGAATGTCACCGAACAAACCGCCACTTTTTGGGACACCCTGCCCTCCATGTTCCATCTGCCTGGACTCAAGATCTCTGAGCTGACCTGACCATGTGCTCCAGGATGGTCACACATTAATCAGAGCCAATTGCCAGGGAATCATTGGGGAGTAACTGAGCTACAATTATGACAGAGCATCTCTTTCTCTGCAGCCCATACAGGAAATAACTCTCTAATCTCTACCCCAACCCCAGTCCTGACTCTCCAATCTCTCCCCACACATGTTCAGTTAACAATGGCTCCTACCCTAACATCTGCTGTAATGTAGATCGTAACATTGATCAATCCATCCCTCTATCTTCCTTACCCACTTGCCAGGTATTGCAAGCACAGGACACGCAAACACACACACACAGACCAGCAGCTGGATTCGAAGCTAGACTCTAGAGGTGTTTTGCTGTATATCTATCCACACTGTGCCCTAACACATATATCCAAATAGTTACACTTGTGACTTTTCCTTCCATATTCTGACTAATAAGACTTTTCTCCAAGGCCTCTTCTAAAACTCTACAAGTGCTCACTGAGGCACTCCGGAGCATCAGGCACAGTAGGACATGGGGTTTCAGCCCACGACCCCCAGAATGACACGCCAGTGACTTGCAACCCAGACTTGTTAGTGTACTGACCTGCCTGAATAAGGAAACTTAAGAGACACTCATCTGCACACTAAAAATAAATGTGTGTAAAATAAATAAAAAATCAAAAATAATGATGTAATGCATAATGATAATGAACTAAACCCATTGTTTTCTGCCAAGGAGCACATATCTGCAGCAAAAAAACACCCCTATACCTTTATTCCTATACTGCTGTCATTTTATTCACTGAGGGCACTTCCCCATCTCACCAGGTACCGTACTTATGGTACCTCAAGAAAGCTGGTTTTCCACTGGTACTGGTGCCCAAAGACATCACAACCGAGGCAGGGTATTTGGTACTGAATTCCAAATATTGGCTGTAGTATATTACAGGGATGATGGATGATGCACGACATTAATACTAACATCACATGTTGTGCACATGCAAATATTACATCGTACAGACATTATAGCTCAGGGGGTTAAAGTTCTGCTAAAATATTTCTACTCTTACTCTGTCATAGGAAATTTTTTAACAAGCTTTACAATTTTAATTATTATTCCTTTTATATATTATTTAATATATGTTTAAAAATCAACTTAAAGTTTGCCTCCGCTGCTTTTGCATGAGTGCTGCATGCGTTCTCTGAGACGATCATATTCATTTTCATCCTTGCTGTTTAAATTACTTGTAGATGGGTTTCCAAAACTACTATGCCAAAAGTACAGTGCAGTGCCCCCTGCTGGCACTGTGAGAATCTCTGGGGATTATTCCAGGAAGCACATCATCTCTGCCCCTCTTTCCACTCGGGAGTCTGGGTAGGCAGCTGCTCCAGATTGGACGCTCTTACCTTGAGTGGCTTGCCGGGCCAACCCATGGGGGGGATGCCGGCGTGGGCCAAGGTAGAGCCATCATCCACATGCTCCTTCAGCACCATCTGCGCGGGGGGATATGTGAGTGAGCTCTCTGAGGTGAGGGGCACAGCGTGGGGGTTATTAGAGTGAGCCCCCCCCCGGCAGTCAGGCGTGTGGGGGTGTGGTGGACAGCATACGGGGGAGTATGAGAGTGAGCCCCCCCCAGCAGTCAGGTCTGTGGGGGTGTGGTGGACAGCATAAGTTTCCTTGATGAAGGACCTCAGAAAATGACAATAACTGATATTACTTCCAAAAGCACTTCTTCTCACAGAATTTCCAGGTGCAGAAATGGCCTTCATGTAGCTACTCATGCATGATCAGAGCAGCTGTTCCACATCCAGCAAAGCTTTCTGTTAATTTTCCTTGCATTTTTGTTCCTATTCCTTGCTTTAGCAGGACACTTTCCCACTTCAGCTATTGTTCTGCTTGTCAGTATTTCTCTAAAGTGCTCTCCTAAACATACACACTGCACATCTTGCAGCAGACACACAAACAACCTGGGATACATAATTTGTGTTGCACCATGTCACCCTACACATGCACTTCTGTGTTTGCTGGGTTGAGGTTCAGAGGTGACTCATGCAGTGGGTAGTTGCGCAGACACCCTCACCGTCATGCCTTCCAGCAGGGCCTGCGGGTCCTCGGGGCCTGGGGCAAGGTGTCTCCCCCCATCTGGAAGGGACTCCAGCTTCTCCACCAAGGCCTTCAGACCCTTCAGCTCGAACTCTGTGAGGTGTGTCCAGCGAGTGGGGGGCTCCATTGCCGGAGATCCCGATGGTGTCTGGGGAAGCTCCGGCAGGCAGGCCACGGGGCGGTCACCCTGCTCCTGCAGGAGGGTGCTGCTGGAGGCGGGAGGAAACGGCTCATCTCTGCCCTGGGGGCCTTCGCCATAAGTCCCATACAAGGCCCCGTCCATGTCCAATCTCTGGCTACTCAGCTCCTGCTCTGTGACAGAAAGGATAGAACCAGGAGAAGAAACATCAAGCAGCCAGCAGCTTGGACACTCAACAGTGCAGACAGTTCAGGGGCAAATCGGTGATCTGAGTCCATTCACATGGTTCAGGCAAAAAAATCAGACTGCAGAACACAGCACTGCATAAAACCACTATGCAACAGGACACCATGACACACTATGACACAGGTCTACTTTGGTTCACATTTTAAATTGCACATAAGTTGCATGATTATCAACAAAACCTTCCTGACTACAGAGAAAAACAATACAGGTGCAAATAAAATGAGAACAGAAACATCTGTGAGAAAACCAAGTGAAACATGGCTGCTTGAAAAACACATTATGGGAACGAGAAACTATAGAGAAAAGTGCGGTCAGATGTGTCAACTGTAGGGCTGGGCATCGTTCATAATTTTTCAATACCAGTACCAGAGTGATACCTTGATTTCGATGCTGGTTCCTGAACAATACTTTTTTCAATACCAATATGTTTTTAAATCAGTTTCAACACCAACAACAAAAATACATTAAACATTACAGAACAAATCTTTTATTTGAACAAGTTGTTTTGTTAGTTATTGGTTAGTTGCTGGGGGAGCGATTGCGATCATAACGGTACGCAGCCTTTTATTTATATTTTACGTATACTGTATGACCTGTGACATGTTTATAAGTCATAAATAAGTCTGGCCAGCAGATCAATCTGTCATTTTCCACAGATTAAAAAAACCATGTAACATTCCACTAATAAGTACCGCCGCGTTTCACTGCTGGCACCGGAAATATTTGGAGATGCATGCAAAAAGGTGTTCAATCTTATAGAGGTACAAAATTAATTCAATTTATTCCATCATACACACCAATTATCACTCTCTCCAGGTGTTTCATGTGATATACGATATGTGGTCAGCCACTATATGGGGGGCATATTTGCAAGTCACACTACGCAACAGTAGTTACACTACGCGACAAACAAAAACAACACCCACGCAAACCAGTTCACAAGTTTGTCTCTGGTCATACGTTTTTCCTCTATGATGTGTTTGTGTGATGTTATATTAGACAGCCAATCACCAGCGTCTTTAGATCTTTACATAAGTATGCTGCATGCTTATTAGCTCACAGACGCTGAGATTTACTGTTTGGGTATCGGAATTCGGCACTGAAACATAATTCATTTTTCAGTCCTTTATAGTATCGCAGCATTTCTGTCAGTACCACAAAAGTATGGAAGTTCAGTACCCAGCCCTTGTCATCTGTCACTTTATGAAGTAATGAGTGACTTCCCACTTATAAAATAAAACAAGGACACTAAATAGCTACAGTGTGGATTGGGCAGCCGTCGAAGGCAGGGGCCTTGGCAGACCGGTCCCCGACTACTGAAACTGGCTTTAGAGACATGGAATAAGATACTAAGCTAGAATATGTTGGAATATAATAAGCTAGTGCAGGAGGTAGAGAGATGCCATCTTGATAACTTTTAAGGACAGAATTTATAGACACAGCCAATGGGTTGAGGGGTCCAGTTCTGTGAGCTCAGGATCGTGTCTTTGCTTTTTGCAGATGATATGATCCTGTTGGTGTCGTCGGGCTGTGACCTGCAGCATGCATTGGGGCTGTTTGCAGGCGAGGGTGAAGCGGCCGGGGTGAGGATCAGCACCTCCAAGTAGGGGGCCATGCTTGTCCAGAAATGGTTGGACTGCCCCCTGCTGGTTGGGGATGAGTTACTGTCTGAAGTGGAGGAGTTGTCAGGATCTTGTTCACAACTGAGGGAGAAATAGAGCGGGACATTGATAGGCAGATCAGTGCAGTGTTGGCAGCCCCGTGGACAATGTACTGGTCTGTAATGGTGAAGAGAGAGTTGAGTGAGAAGGTGAAGCTCTTGATTTACAGGTCAATCTACATTCCTACTGTCACCTATAGTCACGAGTTTTAGGTAGTGACCAAAGCATGAGATTGCAAATACTAGAGGCAGAAATTAGTTTCTTTGCAGGGTGTCTGGGCTCAGCCTTAGAGAGGGTGAGGGGCTCTGACATTCAGGAGGGGCTCAAAGTAATGCCGCTGCTCCTCCACATGAAAAGGAGCCAGGTGAGGTGGTTTGGGCATCAGTCTAGGATGCCTGCTGGATGCCTCCCAGGGGAGGTGCTCCAGGCATGTCCAATGGGAGAAGACCCTGGGGCAGGCCTAGGACATGCTGGAGAGATTATATCTCTGGGCTGGCCTGGGAACGCCTTGGTATTCCCCCGGAGGAGCTGGAGGAGGTGGCTGGAGAGAGGGAGGTCTAGGCATAGGTGGTCTAGAGGGAGGTGGCGGAAAATGGAAGATGGATGGATGGATGAGACTGATAAGGGAAACTCCCTCTCCTGCTCCATAACCTACAAATATAACTAGACAAACATTACCCATAGTTCCCAAGGGCAACAGGTAAACACTGACCTGAATGAGAATTGCTTACCAATCAGCATGGACGCCGTGTGGTGTTTAGTGACACTTTGATGGAGAGCTTTTGTCAGGCAGCAGAGAGCTCTTCCTGGGACATAGCAGCACATCCCATCACAGAATCAAGGGAGGATCCATCAGGAACCTGGAACAGACAGTTTCTGGGTTAATTTACACCTGAACTTTACATCAATAATCACATTTCCTTTTCAATAAGAGTGGCTAACAAAACAGGTTCAGGCCAGACATGTCTTCAAAATAAATAAACAGTGAAAATAATATACATATACTAATTGAAAAAAGCATGCAGGTGTGGGGGGATCCTGCCAAAGACTTGTACACAGTCTTCATTAAATGACATGGATACAGCATCCCCTGCTGGGCAATGTGCACTGCTACAGTCAGCAGCAGGCTTCATTAAATATTATTATGTCCTGTTGAAAAGTATAAGGAATAACTGGCAAAAGGGTTCTACTCAGTGTTTGTTTGGGACTCGCTGGTGCTAAAAATAGACTTTGGAAGTTACTTAAAATAAAATATCCATGCCAATGGAGGAGGACTGCATACAGTCGGTGGGGGAGGTCATGGCAGGAGTCATAGCAATAGTCACTGTTAGAGTCATTCCGGGAGTCACTGCGGGCGTCACAGCAGAAGTCACAACAGGAATCATTGCAGGAGTCACTGGAGAGTCCAGGCAGGCTTTGTGGCTGCTTCTGTCTATGGGCGCTTTTCCACCGCACCAAGTACGGTACATTTGGTGCGGTACTTTCGGTACTTTGCCTTTTCCATTGACTTCCAGTCGAGTACCAGTACCAAAAGTTCCAGTACCGAAAGTGCCAAATCAGCTGGGGTACTTCTTTGGTACTTCTGTACTTTGGGGTGGGACTTGAAATGCTTTCTTTGTCAATTGGTTAATGAAATATCCTGCCGCTGAAACACAATACAAACGGCACCTTGAAAACAGTTTCAAAATCAGAAAATAATGATAAGATAAGTTTATAAAATGCGATTTGGTTGTAAAAACATATACAACAAAAAGATCCGGATGGCATAACAAGAAAAAAAAGGATGAGAAAAAGTATTTTGCTGAATATACTGTATTAATAGCGATGTGATTTTGCTATAAATATAACAATGTGATTTTGTTGTAATAAATATCTTTTAAAATCTTCAAAAGTAGATTTTTAAAATCTTTGAGTGATTTAAATGGCAAGGATTAAAGTGATTACGGATTGTCTTGAAGAATGCATGCAGCGCTCATGCAAAAGCAGTGGAGGTAAACTTTAAACTGATTTTTAAACATGTAAGAATCTATAAAAGGAATAATAAAACTACAGAGCTTGCTAAGTTTTTTTCCTATGACAGACTAACAGAGTAAAAATATTTTAGTGAAACTTTAACCCCCTGAGCTATAATGTCCATACAGAATTTAAAGTAAGAAAAAGCCTGGTCTTAATCTTTCTGACTAGCGATGTAATAATTGGATGTGCATAACATGTGATGTTGGTATTAATATCGCACGTCATCCAGTCCTATAATACCCTATAGCCATTTTTCGAATTCAGTACAAAATACCCTGCCTCGTGTTGTGATGTCATGCCGTTTAATTAGTGCCAAAACTCGCGCACATAAAAACCACGTGCGTATGTGCTTGCGAGAACAAAACCCATCCTCTCTACGCGCTCGCGTTTGCACAGCACTCACTTGCTTGCTCGGTCGGCGTTAAATTAGTGCCAAAAGTGAAAACCTATCCTTTCTACACGCTCGCGTTCGCTGGACCCTGTCTGCGCGCACTTGACCTGACAAAGAACATGGAAACACGGAGCATGTTAGGTACTAAGGATGCAGGGCGCATGCTGTGCCAGGCCTGCTCACTAACACTCACCATGTGAAAGAGCATCGGTCTCTCACTCGACCTGACGAAGAACATGGAAACTGTCACGGCGGGGGTTGTGGAAAATAAGGAGGACGCTATAGTGGATCAGTCCAGGAAAAAGATTTATTATTTTTGCAGTAAACACCAAAAATCGAGGTAGATAAAACAGGCAGTGGTCGGGCGATCAGCGTCAGGATCCAGGGGAACAGGCAGGGCTCAGAATCCGGGGACAGGCAGGTGGTCAGGCAATCAGCGTCGGGATTCATGGGAACAGGAAGGGCTCGGAATCTGGGAACAGGCAGGTGGTCAAGCGATCGGCGTCGGCAGTGAGAGGGCTAGGCTGAACTCGAAGGTCAGAAGAGGCAGAACAGAGGTCAGGGGAACAGGCAGGCTGAGGTGCAGACAGGCAGGGAAATAACGATCAAACTTAGCACAGAAGGCTGAAGATCTCGCGTCTGGCAAGAATAAAAAGGCTCTCCAATTACCCCGACAGGCATCAGCTGGTAGGGGAGGGCATATGGTAACCGGTCCTGCCGGTTCTCAGGACCGGTGTAGTAGAAGCACTCCAGCCGCTGCTTGACTCCCTCCTAGGGAAACCCCAGGAGCATGGCAGGGGGGCCCCGCGTGACATCATAGGGGCTTCCCCTGGGAGATCCATGACAGTACCCCTCCCCCCACGACCGACACCCAGTGGTCAAACGTGCTTCCTGGCACGGCATTCAAATTCGGAGATCAGACACTGATCCAGCACGTGTCGAGCTGGAGCCCAGGACCGTTCTTCAGGGCCATATCCCTGCCAGTCAACTAGATACTGAAGGCCACGACCCGGCCAGACGTCCAGCAAGCAACGGACGATGTACACCTCACCTCCGTCGACCAACCTGGGAGGAGAAGGAGGCAACTCAGAAGAAGCCAGGGGACTGACCATATGGGGTTTCGGTAGGGAAACATTCCTTAGTGCCCTCCTCTCCAAAAAGTCACAACAGGGCATCAGGTTTGCAGTTCTTGGAGCCCGGTCTGAAGGAGATAATAAACTTGAAATGATTAAAAAATAGTGACCACCTAGCCTGGCGTGCATTGACTCGCTTTGCTGACTGTAGATATTCCAGATTCTTGTGGTCCATGAGGATCAGGAATGGGTCCTTAGTTCCCTTGAGCCACTGCCGCCACTCCTCCAAGGCCAGACGGACTGCCAGCAGTTCTCAATTGCCAATGTCGTAGTTCCTTTCGGCTGGGGTTAACTTATGGGGAAAAAAAAGCACAAGGACGCAATTTATTGTCTGTCATGTGTCGCTGGGATAGAATAGCCCCTACACCAGTGCTGGAAGGGTCCACCTCCACCACAAACTGTCGAGAGGGATTGGGGATCTGAAGAATAGGGGCTGAGGTGAAGCTTCTGCAAAGGGCCACGAATGCCTGCTCAGCCGCTGCGCACGTGATGGTGGCCATCCAGCGCATGGACCACCAGCTGCATCTGGACTGGCGTGGTGTCGGACTGGCGGACCAGCGTGGTGTTGATAAAATTGTCATCTGCTCCTGAGTCCCGGGCTAAGGGCTGCTGGATCTCTCCATAGGAGAGCAGTACTGGTAAAAAGGTGCATCAAATGGACGAGGGAAATATTGGAGCTACACCCACCAGGGCCCTCCTCTTCACTGGTGGGTGCGTCCTTTTACTGGGCATTTAGAAATATAATGTCCCACCTGCCCACAGTACAGACAGGCATTGGCAGTCCGTTGCCATTGTCGTTCTGCAGGGGACAAACGGGTTAGGTCCACCTGCATAGCTTTGGCAGGGGGCTCGGAAGAGCTCACACAAGTTGCTTCATGGACACTCTGAACATCAAACTGTCTGTGACATTCTCTGCGGCGCTGACGGAAAGCGGTTGCCCACTCGAATAGCGAGGTTCACTAATTCCCTGAAGGTTCCTGGCATTTATCTGTAGGTTAATTCATCCTTAATTTCTTCCACCAGCCCGTTATAAAACGCGTCAAACTGAGCCTGCGTATCCCATCCCGTGGACAGCACAAGGGTCTGAAAAGCGATGGTGAAATAACACACCGAGTGTTCGCCTTGACGGAGCTGTAGCAATTTGCGTGCTGCCTCTCTGTCATAAGTTAAGCGATCAAAAACCCGCTTCATTTCTGCAGTAAACCCTGGATGGGTAGTACAAAAAGTCCCCCTGGCTTCTCACGCGGCAGTCGCCCACTTGCGAGCGGGTCCGGTCAACAGAGTAATTATGTAAGCGACCCGGACACCATGTGAAAGAGCACCGGTCTCTCACTCGACCTGACGATGAACATGGAAGTACGGAGCATGTTAGGTACTAAGGAGCAGGGCACATGCTGTGCCAGGCCTGCTCACCATATGAAATAGCAACGGTCCGTCACTTGACCTAATGAGGGACACGGGAGATGACGCTGGGAGCTGTACTGGGTGCTGCCCCATAATAGAGACATTGTTCTAATAATTATTTATATTTTATAAAGGAACTAGAATGAATACTTTTATATCATACAAACATTAATTTATATGAAGCCTCACAAAGCTTGGAAAGGTCTAGGTAACAGAATGATTTTATCAAGATGGAAATATTTAAGCAGCAGAGAGTAAATTGACACAAAGGCACCCTGACATCATAACAAATTAGATTAATGTTTTGACTATTTGGGCCCCCACTTCCATAATGAACAATAGCAGTAACACACCAGGGCCCACGGAATGCACCAGATGGCTATAAACACAAACAGGGCTGGTGCAGTCGGCCTCTCTCTCATGGGTCACAGGTGCAACAGAGTGTTCCTTGAGGAGCACATTTCAAAATGGTCCGATTGAAGGCCATGGAAACCAACTGGAAACCGTACAATTTCTGTGCATCAACGGCAGGCGAACAGCAAACGACACATCCAAAACAAACAAACAAACAAACAAACAGACTTACCTACAGGCTTCCAGTTTCGTGCCCTGTCTTTCAAAAATAGTTCCGGACCCATCCCCGGTAATCTGAGAAGCAAAAGCTCGGCTAGAACAAGCAGGCAATGAACCCTCGTATTAATCTAGGTGTCGTCTGTAAATCAGCAGGTATCTGTCCACCCCCCACCCATGACTGCCAGATCCTCAAGCTCGCCAGAATGCAAATCTTTATACTTTCAGCAGATCCCCCCTCTCCTTCTCCCTTTCTCTCTCTGTAATAATCCCCAGCAAATTAAAGCAACAAAAACCTCCATAGTGTCTTCCCCTACGGCCCTTCTGCACACCTAATAGCAAAGGA